TTTTGTGGTAGTGGGGGGTGGTATAAGGGACACCGATAGTCAGCTTTTGTCAGTCAAGGAGAATCATCTCTCACAGATATGTTGATGGAGTTTCTTTTATTTATATATAGGTGTGTATTATAGTATTATACAATAACACAAAAGTAGATGAAGCCTTGAATCATTTTTGTTTCAGTTGGCTCTCTGCAGGATTACTTAGGGATCTATGGAGAACAATTCAATATAGTCTTGGTTGAGCATATGCAAGCTGTCTATCAGAAGGTTTGGTACTCCAGTAATATAAGCATGCTACAGTAATTCCTCCAATTTGACAATAGTGAGAAAATCTAAACAGAATAGCCACAGTACAACCCAGTATTAATACGCTGAAAAGAAAGGCGACTTTTGAACAACAAAGGATAGAAGGCCTTTGAATAAACCTTAAGCACTCATTCTCCACACATAATACACATTAAAATGGTTTCAAACAATGTAATTTGTATTTAAATGCTGATAGTGCATTTCCTTTAAAATGACAATTTCTTGTGGTGTTCCACAAGGTAATAATTTAGTCCCACTTTTATTCCCATTATCTGTTAATGATGTGAGCTTTTGCTCAATCCCTACTCTTATAAGTTAAATTCTGATTATTCTGACCTGCTCGTGTCTCACAGTAAAAATAATATGGTAAAATAATACTGAGCATGTCAGTGCAGTGTGTTCAAATGTGCGATGTAATGGAATAAGCATTCAAGCACAGATATTTGTTAATTATAGCGGTTTACATTTTAAGGTCAACACGTGAAAAATCCAAGGAACTAAGTAACATAGTGTCATTGTGATGGCTCTTTATGTTGCTACTTCAGAGCTTCATAGAGATTAATATTTCCCGTGATTTCTGTATGAAATATGTTGTTTTTAGGACACTCCGGCAATTAAAAAAAAGGCGAAAGAAACCTTTGAGACTTCCCAAATCCTGAGTCTCTTTTTAACCACTTTCCTTATGCCAGTCGAAGCATATGTCATTATTTTGAGAGATAAGTGGCTCTGGTCCGCTGGGACGAGGTCTGACCAGCCGGCATGTCTGCTCTGCTACTCTGCCTGGCTCCCTGCCTGCCTGCTGCATGGTCATTACTTATAAATTAGGGGTGGAGGAGGCTGATGGACAAGATGCTAATGGAAAAAAATGGACCCAAACAACAACAACAACACAGAGAGAGCAAGGAAGTAAATGAAATAGGGCAAAGTAAGACAGCAGGAGGAACAGCACGAATCACACCTAAAAACAATTCCTGTCCTTAAAAACAATGACATAATTCTCATGTTTTATGTGGGCTGCCCGCTGGCCTTCCTGATGATGGCTAAATAAATACAACCAAGATGCAATCAATGTTATATGAAATTAAAATGACAGCATTTGGTTGACATGATGCAGGTGTGGCTACAGGATCGCTGCCTGGAAAGAAGCTGAGCAGGGAATGAAACTGACAGACGGACAACATGTGGTTAAAGAAAATAATTCTCTCAGTAACAGAAATACACAGGTGGAGATTGTGACTATGTCTCGGTTCGCTCTTCTCACCTTCTACCCCGAGGCCGTCACAGAGAGCCTGCTGTCACACTGGAATGTCTCGCTACCTGAAGAGACGCTTCATTAAACTCTCAGGTGTTTAAGAGTCTGACTGCATGCATACATGCATGCATGCATGCATGCATATATAAGCACCCAAAATACATTCTTGATCATCATCACCTCTTTGTGCGTGCGTTTAAGAGATATGTTACCTGCTACAATAACAAAACCAATATTTTAAAAAGGTAACTTCCTCATTGTAACTTGAATATGCCAAACAGCAAATGAGGCAGACACCCATTAAAGGCATGTGAGAAATCCCTATTGACCTCACTGAGAGAAACAAACTGTTTCCTGCTTTATCACATGCTATGCAATGCACATCTAGGGTGATATAATCAGCATTCATGTATTGCTGAGGCTTACAAGACCAGCGGGAGAGGCTTCCAGGGAAGACAGCTAAGACATCTTGTCACATCTACAGCAGGTTGTAATCAGGCCAGTGGCAGCTTCCTCTCAGCTGCGTCTTGCAGCAGGTACACAGCAGGGCTGCATGGTGGACGGCCTGTCTGACAGAACTGATGACGAAAACACTACTCTGGCTATTTTTACACCAGCTTCTTGCTGATCAAAAGACAGTCAGGCACGTTTCACTGACAGCTGAAAAATGGTTTTATTCACAAGGCTTCTTTGACAGGCTTTATGTCTGGCAAAATACAAAGAAATGCAGTTGTTTTTGTCAGAGGGAAATTTATTTTAGTCCGTGACCAGTGAGTCACAGCAGCAACCGCATTAAGGGGGCTGTAAAAACAGTCATAAAAGTAAACTGAAAACACAGATATGACTTTCGAAAAAAAGAGATATTGTACATCTGGTTTGCTCTGCCTGAGTTCTTGTGTGGGTCTGTACTTGTATATAGACGTGCAAAGCATACGTATGCACCTATACCTCACCTACAGGCTGTCTTTTAAGCACCTCATAAACTCGCACGCTAGCAGCCACTCCTCTCTTTGGCTTGCCAAGGCTCGATGCTGCAGGAGGGGGGAGTTCAAAGTTTACTTACTGGTGTCAAGATATCGGTTACTAAGGCAGCGTTGGGCCTAAAGCTACGAGCAGGAACACAATTTGGACTCAAAGACTCTCAGTGATCTACTATCAATACCTCCAACTGGTTGTCTGCAAGGACGTTCAGCCCTCTCCTGTCCTAACAATGAAGGCCACACAACCCCAAACCTAATCCAAAAACCCGCTACTCATATAACCAAGCACACACCAACCTCGCCTTCTGAATCTGGAGATGCAATGTTTTGTAAACGCTCCGAGTGAAATTCAAGACAGGGAATGTGCAGGTGTGAACACATCTCATGCCAGTATGTTAACAGTACGAGTGTGTCCACATGTCCATTGTGTGCGTCGGAGTGAGTGAGACACACTTCCCTCGGTTTAGACGGTCTGTTATCGCACACAGATGACAGCTTTCAACCTCTGTCTTGTAATAGGATAACAGCCACATTGGTAATCCAATAGCTGCTTCATTTCTATAGAGCACACGTGTGAATGAGTGTGAAAGGATAAGACAGGCTATGTCCGAGTGTGTCACTCTGTTTTCCTGGAGAATCTTTTAGCTTTGTGCATGCATGCAGCATAGCCATGAGCTGTAAATCAGTTCCGAAAAACAATCCACGTTATGCACATTTTATACGCTGTTTGTAGAGATATTCAGTCACGCACACAAACCCAGGCAAACATAAAAGGATCTTGGCTTCTGCTTCGTCAAAAGCATGCCAGCATTGGTAAACATTCTTTGCTTTAGTGTAATGATTGTGTCTTGTTATGTTCCAAAGCACGTTTGGAAGCCCTGGCATTCACGATTGCACGCTTAGATGTTCAGATTAGCTCACAACAGTCCTTTATTGTAGAAGGCGGTTTTACAACTGATTTGTAATGATTAACGTGTACAGGAGTCTAGCCAGGATAAAAAAACAAAAACTTAACTGTGGGATCTACATTATGTATTTTCACAATATTGACACCAATTGGGTTGTTTTGGAGAACCAATGACTTCCTAATCAGACTCTCTGTCAGCTTCTTCCAATCCACGGTCAATATCATAGCTCATCAAACTAAATGTTTTTTTTTCCTTTCAGTGTATTTCAAGGACAAAATATAACTGAATATGACAACATGAATCATTCAAATATGTTGGCAGTTGAGTTGCATTGTGGGTAATGTAGGCACAAGGTTTTAGCAAAGAAAAAAATCTGGTAGAATTGGACTGTTATTAAAGGATTATTAAAATGTATGATCTCTTGGGTCTTCGTTATAATAACATTGTGCGTATGAAAACTATTGGCTTTGCTACTAAAAAGTCAGATAGAAACATAAGAAGTCGGACAATCAACAGTTTAGGCAGATTATCTGATTATCTAAATGCTTAAGTACACCTGGAATTTTGGTAATGATCCCTCATTGGACAGGGAAACTGTGTGCATGCACAACTACACCAAGTGAGTCAAAGCTGAACCAGAAAATGGGTCTGTAAACGTTCATGGATGTTTATAAGACATAATCCTAAAATTAACAATTTCTTTTCTTTTCTTGTTTTAACAGATATAAATAACATCCAAACTATAATGTATAGTACACAGAGAAACACAGAGTCTCACTATAAACCGACTATAAGACTCAGAAACTAACACAATCAAACACATTGGTCAACAGTAAGGCTGTGTGTTAAAATAACTATGTAATAAAATTGATTTTATGGCACTAATTGAAACCAGCATCACAAAGTGCTTTAACACAAACAACAATAAAACACACAATAAATAAAGATAAGTCTTCAAAAGTAATTTAAAAGAAGATAGTGATGTAGCAAGCCGGAGCTCCCCAGGTGGGTTTTTCTACACACACCAAAACCATACATAGCTTTATAAATACCTTATCAATGGGAATATAAATATGTATAACCCTTTTTTCATGAAAAAAAAATGTGCCAGTCTGCTCAACGCATCAATGTTAAATAAAGAACTTTGCCAAAGTTAAAAAAGAGCAAAAATCAAGTAAAACAAGCCGCAATATCTGACCGAGCATTCAATGGCAACTTTTGACACCGATGCCACATACTCACAGAGTTTGGTCAATACTGCAAAAGTCTTGAGGTTGGAGCTCAAAGCTTCACTTCCACAGCTGTGACTTCAAGCCACAAGGCACATATATCTGACGTGAATGGCAGTGTTTCTAAGGGTGGACTCCGCCATAAATAGACATCTGTGGTGGTGGTGGAGATGACTCGACTGGGACAGTGGATGACGTCATTTTCCCTGTCGTGGAAAGACTTCAGTTTCATATTGACTTTTGTTTTTTATCGTCAGCAAAAAATAGAAATAATTCCACGCTTATGGAAGTGAATGAGTGGCTACACTTGTCCAGGTTTGAGCAATAGGATAAACAGGCGTCCCGTCAAATAAATCTGTGCTGTGCAGGGAAAGTTTCTTAAAAATAGTTTTTCAAATATGCACAGATTCAAGGCAAAGAGCTGGTTTGAAGACAGACTTTTGTTTCATCTTGTTCAAGCCTGTCTTCATGCACATGCACAGCGACTTTGAATCCCCAGGGGAAAATCTGAGCACACACACAAACCCACACACACACACACACACACACACACACACACACACACACACACAGTCAGACATTTGTGGACAGAGGTCTAAAGAGTAAAAGATTAATAACATAATTGCAGAGGCAGATCCAGGAGTAGGACATGAAAGATATCAAGAGACAGACAACACGGAAGAGAAAGAAAAGAGTGTCCAATGAAGCAAGAAGTAGTGTCAGAAAGTCAAACTGGGAGTTCAGCAGCACTCACCCTGTCAAGTGAGTCGACACTGGCACAAGAAGGAGCAGCGGGTCCTTAAGTGAGTGAGAAAAAGTTACGTCTCTGCCACAAAAAATACCCCAAAAAATGACGTGTCTGGTTTTATCTCAAGCACATGGATCAACACTTTCCCTCTAAGCTCTCCCCCCCCCCCCCCACAAACACACACACACAAACAGCCAGTCCAAAATCTGTCACTCCACTAGTGTCCGAGCAGAGTCGTAAGCAGGCTTCTTCTTTGATGTGCACAGTCCTCAGACAGTCAGAATAGACGGTGGGTGTGTGCGTGCAGCATGAAGACGAGTGCATGTGTGAACAAGTAGGGAGGAGAGAGCGCAGGAGTGCGTACACTCCCTGAGAGGGAGGTGACTACAAGGAGGGAGAGAGAGAGAGAGAGAGAGAGAGAGAGAGAGAGAGAGAGAGAGAG